CCAGCCTTTGTTGTTAGGAGGAGAGATAATGCACCTTCAATCTTTTAAATCAATTTTCTTGTGGGAAGAAGATGCTGAAGCCGGCTTGGGCGCCTTCCGGAAGCGGCTGACAGCTGAGAGTTCAGCTGGGGAAGTGGGGCTGGGGAGGGTCCTGCCAGGGTCTGCCCTGGGCAGCAGTGGGTGTGAGATTTGGCCTCACGCACAGCCCAGACGGCCCCGAGCGTCTGCACGCGGGGTTGGGCGCAGGCCCCTGGCGGGGGGGGGCTGTGCTCCCGGCTCTGTGGGCCTGCAGGTGAGGCCCCCACTCCAGCCCTGCGGATGCTGTCCCCTGGGAGCTGGGTTTGGCTGGGATATAGCTGCTCGAAGGGGGCCGAGAGCTCATTGATCTCATTGCTGGTGGGACAGAGGCTCAGATACCTCTGGCCTCCAGGTTCCCGCTCTCTGGCCTTTGTAAGAAGCTGGACGGCGTCCAGGTGCACTGGCTCCTGGGCAGTGGAACCAACTGCCCTGAACTCACCCCCAGCCCCCGCTACCCAGCCCCCATCCAGCCCTGGAGCCTATGGACGAGAACCATCAGCAGTCATAGCTGCCGGCTACGCGCAGGTTTAATATCCATGTTCCACTAAGATTATTTTTCTTAATATCATCAGAAGATATTGTGCCCCAGTGCGTCATGAAGCTTTCTGAGCTGAGGTCCCGATAACACCTGTGGGAGTGACCCCGAGCGCGCCAGGAGCCTGGTGGAGGCGCTGTTCTCACCGGGGAGCAAGGAGCGCCGAGCTGCCGGCTGCGGCCCTGGGAGATGAAAGGGACATTGGCGGGGAGGCTTTGTGAAAACTGCTGTTTTGCCGCGTGCGGGCCCCTGGGCCTCTGTTCAGTGCAGAGAACATTGAGTGAAATGGGGAGGAAGCGTCTGAGAAATCAGACTCGGCGCTGCTGGGAGAGGAGCAAGTGCCCAAGCCCGCGTCCCCGTCGGCTCTCAGCCCACGCAGAGCCTTGTCCACAGTTATCCCAGCGTGACACTCTGATACACACAGTGCTACTCCGAGAAGTTCATGAAAAATGCACTTAAAAGTTTATTTGGGCGCCAAAAAGTTGGAAATGTGTGCAGTTTCCCGTGATGCGCATTTTCTGAAGCCCCCTGGGGTACACAGCGATGCACTGAGAACTGGAGGCTAGGTGGCCAAAGGGGCTGAGGGCTTGCCGCCAAGCCTGACCCCAGGCCCAGCTTTCTCTGGCTGACCCGAGACCACCTCTCCACGCTGAGGGTGGACTCAGCTCAGCATGGGGAGTCTGGGACCACCCAGGGTTATCCACAGGGGCTGCTTGTCATGACACCAAAGGACCTTTTAAAAATGATCTAATGTACCCAGCAGCTGTTGACAACCCCGTCCTGCTGGTCGGAAACCCTGCAAGAGATGGAGATGTGGCCAGCAAGGCCGGGTGTGGGCTCTGCCCCTGGGCAGCCCCAGCGTGGACAGGAAATATTCCCATGGTGCTACAGTTGTGATTTAATTCACAAAAGGATGGCGAAAGGTGAGGTTTACCTGGGTCACGAAGCAGACAACAAAAGGCCAATGAAGCCCACGGATGATAAGCCTTCAACCGCATCAAGAGCAACTGTTTTAGGGCTGGTGCTGTGGCATAGCGGGTAAAGCTGCTGCCTGCAGTGCTGGCACCCTGTTAGGGCGCCAGTTCGAGTCCCAGCTGCTCCACTTCCAATCCAGCTCTCTGCTATGACCTGGGAAAGCAGTGGAAGGTGGCCCAAGTCCTTGGAGCACCCACTTGGGAGACCGGGAGGAAGCTCCTGGCTTTGGATGGGCCCAGCTGTGGCCGTTGTGGCTACTTGGGGCATGAGCCAGCAGATGGAGGATCTCTCTCTCTCTCTCTCTCTGCCTCTCAAATAAATAAATCTTTAAAAGGAGGCAACCGTTCCCAGAAGTGGCCAACAACATCCGCCCTGACCCCCGAGGTGACCCAGCTTCCCACTTTCTTTCACAGGTTCAATTTCCGTATTTAAGTTTGGATGAAAACGGGACATTGTCACGAGAAATCAGCACATTTGTGAATCAGAAAACCGTCCGCGAGCATTGAATGTGCAGGAGATGAATCGGTGCTGACATATTGCTTTCCTGTCCACGCGGGAGCCCTTGAGCTTGCTGCTAATCTGAAGTCTACTTCATAGAAGCAGCTTTATTAATAACGACCAGCCCCGGATTTTTCTTATTAAGTCTGGGCTAAGAAGCGGAGCCGTGTGGGGGTTATGTTAGGTGACGGTTTCTCACCACTGCTTTTCACACACGCGTGAGATAAACGTAAATTGATCGTCACCGCTCCAGATGCGTTTTGCAAGTCACCTTAAAAACTAATAAAAAGCAAGCATGCAGGACTCTCAGCGGTCGTCTCTGCCTGGCTCGTCCCCTCCTGAGGCCATGGGGACTCGACTTTGCCTCTGTTTGAAACGACCATTTTTGGGGGCCGGCGCTGTGGTGCAGCGGGTTAACACCCTGGCCTGCAGTGCCGGCATCCCATATGGGCGCTGGTTCTAGTTCTGGCTGCTCCACGTCCGATCCAGCTCTCTGCTGTGGCCTGGGAAAGCAGTGGAAGATGGTCCAGGTCCTTGGGCCCCTGCACCCATGTGGGAGACCTGGAAGAAGCTCCTGGCTCCTGGCTTCAGATTGGCGCAGCTCTGGCCATTTCGGCCATGTGGGGAGTGAACCAGCAGACGGAAGACCTTTCTCTCTGTCTCTCTCTGCCTCTCCTCTCTTCCTGTGTAACTCTTTCAAATAAATAACTAAATCTTAAAAAAAAAAAAAAGAAATGACCATGTTTTAGGGAAGCAGCTTTTCAAACTGAGGATGAGGGCGTTGACCCCGTGGTGACAGGTCATCCTGACTTCAAGAAGTGAGAGGAAAGTGGGAGACGCGGAGTGAGCGAACTGCCGGGCCCGGGGCACGTCTTCCCCGCTGGAGAGGGGCCGACAGGTCCCCAGACTTGACGCTCACCCTTGCGCTTTACGCGGCTGCTTTGGCTGACGCAGTGCAGGGAGTGTGAGGGGGGCGACAGGGCTCAGATCACAGAGGCAGGCGGGGTCTGCTGCAAAGAGGGGTTAGCCCTCTCCTCGGCCCCGCGGGGAGGGGTGCTGTGGGGAGAGCTGGCTCTGCCCTGCCCGGTGTTTCCTGCCGCAGGCAGGTGCACACCGGAGGGTTTTCGAGTTCTTGAGTGCAAACGCCACCTTGCTCAGGAAGGTCTGATGCGGAGGAAGTTCCTCTTATTTTTGACTCCCCGGTTCTTGCTCTCTTGTCTCTGGTTCCTCGTAGCTGGCAGGGAGTCCGTTAGCGACCTCTCCGGCCACTCCAGGAACCTGGGCTGTTACAACAGACTCAGCAAAGGGCGGCTCTCAGGCCACCAGGGTGAACTTGGCAGACTCACTGCTGCCCCCTATGGGGTGTCAGGTGCAATTGTAGATGTTGGGGTGTCTCAGCTGCTCCACGTAAACTGGAATTTGCTCCTATCAGAGGGACAGAGAGGTGACGGCTGATGTGTCTGAACCTGGGACCTGGCCACGTCCGAGCTAGCCTACAGGAGCCCAAGCACACTGCCCCGCGTGGATCAGCTCCTGGAAATCTGCCAGTCCGTATTGGCGTCTGCATCCACTGCCCAGGGACATGAGTCACAGGGTGACCCGTGAAGTGAGGGTGGCCCCGGCACACGGGACACACACCTTAGCCGGCGGCTGCTGTGGTTTGCACCACCACAGTCGGACTGGTGGTGAACCCCACACGGGCACAGGGGCCGGGCCCCTCCTCTCCAGACGGATCCAAGCACAGGATCCTACAAGGCCAGGAGGAACCATCTGTGTCCCCCCCCCCCCCCCCCGAGGATTAGGATGGCTGAGGTTTCTAGAACTTGCGCATTAACACAGTGTTGCTGGAACCTGACATTTGCCGGAGATTCAGTCGGAAGAGGCTTCCTTGATAGGCAATTGCTCCCCGTTCCTCTTGCGAAAGGGCTGACTGTGCCCAGCATGGGTCCCCGCTGCGGGGGGTGGGGGGCACTGCCGCCGTCACGTTGTTTGTGGCTGTCGCGCACTCCATGTCCCTTTTCCTGGGGGCAGCACATCTGTTTTCCCGTGGGGGCCCGCTGTCTCCTCGGTCCGCATGGTTCAAGTGACTAAGGGGGGAGCAGCACTGCTGAAAAGCTCTGACAGGCCATGAGAAAGTGGGGGCCCAGACTCGGGGGATCCTGGGGTCCCTCTCCGTGTCTGCAGAGACGGCATCTCGACTGTGGAAGCCTGGGTGGTATGCTAGTGGCGCCCGAGTCTCCCCACACTCGGTGTGGAGGGATGATGCAGTAGTCGGGCTATGGACACAGCCACAGTCCTCCTTCCCTCCTCTCCCCTAAGCTCTGCAAGGGGACGTCTCCACTCTCCCATCAACAGGTGGATTCTGTCTCTTTACCCCTTGAAGCTAGCCTAGCCTGGGGCTTGCCGTGACCAGTGGACTACGGGGAAGTGATGACAGGCCAGGTCCAGACCCGAGCCTTACCAGCTCTGTGGGCTTCCGTGTGGAAGTCAGGGTGGTCTGTTGCAGGCTTGTCCCACATGGGACACCCAGCCTGGTCTGCAGAGGACCCCGAGCATGTGGGATGACCCCACCAGGTGAGCAGCTCTCTGCAGGTGCACAGGAGAGCCCAGCTGAGACCGGAAGAATGCCCCCCCACTGACCTTTGGAGCAGCGGGAGGTGCCACCAAGTTTCGGAGCTCTCCGCGCTGCGGCCAACGCTGACGGCTGCAGGTGCCGTCACTGGGCTTCTCAGGTGCTAAACGGGCTGCCATGGAAAAAGTTGTCTCAACGTAATTCAACTCCATGGGTCCACAGGCACTGGGAGGCCGCAGGTATTCTTGTTGCTATGGATACCCTCTTGAGACAGTAGAGTGGGGAGAGAGAAACCAGCGTTGCCATGACAACAAGCTTGCAAATCAGTCTGGAAAGGCGAAAGACCAGAAAAACAAAACAAAACAGGAAGAACCAGGAGGGGGGGCGGAAATCGCCTGAAACAGCCCCCTCCCCAGCTCCCCAGCTCCCCAGATACGAGTTGCCTCCCTGTTGTAGCTGACTGTCTGATCGGGGGCTACGCAGTGAGCCCAGGAAGCTCTTCTCTCTCCATGGCCTGTCCCCACAGCCAGGGCGCAGCAGGAGGCAGAGCCACTGAGTACTTCCTGTGCGACTTGCAGTTTGCTCTCAGCCCAGTGTTCTCCCGAGGAGCACAGCTCGCCTGGGCTCGCCCCTCACACTGCCCTGTGATCGTGCTCCGTCTCTCTTGCAGGGAGGGAAACTGAGACCCAGAGAGGGAGGGGGCTGCTCAGCGTCGGGATGGTGCTGGGGTTCTAGCGGGGTCTAACGGGCGAGCCCTGAGCTCTGGAGTCGGCCAGACCCGGGACAAGTCCTGGGGCCACCGTGCCCTGGCCGTCCTATTCTGTAAGCAGCTGACCTCTTAGCTTCTTTCTGGAAGACGGGGGTCGTGACAATGTCAGCCTCAGAGGGTGCTGGGAACTCGGTGAACCGGTGCGCCAGAGGCTCAGAGCACCGTGCTTGGCCCGCAGCGAGCTGGGAGTGACTGGATCATTACGTGGTCAAGGACTGTGTCTTTCTGCCTCCACTTTTGAGAGCCGTGGCGGCGACCCTGGGCGGCCCCCACTGGGTCTGCAGCCTGCTGAGGTGCGCTCTAGAGGCCCCGGGCCGCGTGCTGTGTCCATGTCACAGTTTGTGATTTTTCAAAGCAGTTGCGTCTTGCATTTAATCCTCTTCACAGCAGCCGGGCTGGGCAGCTGGTGGGGACGACACTGGCTTCGTATTTTCCAGGAAACTGAGCCTGGGGGACCCCTGACCACCTGCCCACCGTCCCCAGAAGGTTCAGGCTGTGCCAGGGCCAGAGCTCGCCTCCCCCGGCCGTGCCTCCGGCCCCCCTGAACGCACATCCATGCAGATGGCCCAGATGTTGGGTTTAACAGAGAGAGGGAGGGAGGAAGTTTGGGGCATCTGTTTATGAGAGAAAATCACCAGCCGTGCCCGGAAATCTCATGCATAGCAAATAAATGATGGGCAGATAACCAATTGCGTATTCAGAGGCGCGTTTGAGATGCGAACATCCTGTCTCGGCCAGACAGCTCCCGTGCAGGCGTTTTGCTGGGGGTGGAGATGTTTTTCCAGGCCATTGCTGGGGTGGGGTCTCTGCTCAGCTGGTGGCGAGGAAGGGCCAGGTGGTCTGGGGAGGCCACCTGGCGGTGAGCAAGTGAAGGGCCTGGGGTGCTCACGTGGGGCGGAGGGGGGGTTCGGAGGTCAGATCAGAGGCCCCAGTGCTTGGCCAGGGCCAGGAGGAGGCAGGACAAAGGTGAGAGCCGACTTAGCGACCGGGAGGGGCTGGCCCTGAGTTCCTAGGTCCTCCCAGCACCGTCCATGCCGCCTGGCCGGACCTCGCGTCCCCGTGAGCATCTCGGACCCCAGCATTTGCTTACTGAGTGTTCCTGGGCCGGGCTGTTTCTCGTTGACAACACGGACCAGATCAAGGAGCGCGAGAAGCGCTTTTGAAGAGGGCACCCATCGAAAGGGCACTGAGGTCTTGACTCAACCAGCTCAGCTGGGGCCCCCGCATGTGCCATTCCACATGAAGGTCAGGGGTGTTGGTCCAGGTGTGGGGGCGCTGTGTCCGGGGGCGTGGGCGTTCCGTGGCACTGGTGGCCACAGCAGGTGATCTCCCAGAAGCACAGGAAAAATGAACTTCGCTCCTCCCGCCGGCCTTGCTTTGCCTCGAATCGGGAGGGAGGGAAGACACTGGGCCTTTTGTCTGCTCCGCGACCTGAGCCTCCAGGTTCTCCCTCAGGCCCCACCCGCGAGAAGCTGCTGTTTGCCGTGCTGGTGGCCTCGCCTGGCCCGCGTTAGCACAGCTGGGTACAGGCTCTGATGCTGAGTGAAACCATCGCCTCTTTTGTCCCCTGGCCACATCCCCCAGCGCCACGTAGGGTTTGTTTTCGTGTACCCGGCTCGCCATCTGTCTCAGGGTTGGCCGTCCAAGTTCAGCGGTGACGCAGCCTGCATGGCCGGGAAGAGCTGATGAGCTGGCTTTCACAGACTCGGAGCCCGGGGCTGGCAGTTACAGCCGCACCTCTGCGGGCTTGGCGGTGGGCTCAGCCTGCCCGGAGCGTCCCCTCCTGCTACCAGGCTCCCATGAGAGCGGGAAGTTGGTTGCACGAGTCCCCTGCCCTGTTAAGGACCTGCCCCTTTGGAGGGCTCAGGGTGGAAGGGACCGCCGCTCACCCTGCCCGGCCGCCTGCCCTCCTCCAAGCTGCCTGGCTCAGCCCCGCCCTGCTGGCGGACGAGATAACAAAACGTGCCCCGTGGTTCCGTCAGCTCCAAGTGCTGGCTTCCGTCCTGCAGATCCGTGCATCCGAAATGCCTCCCTCCTCCAGGTGGCCTGGACCTGGGCTCCACCAGGAGCTTGCTAGAGACACAAACTTGCGGCTCCCAACACGTACCTGCCACACCTGCCTCTTCTTTATCAAGACCCCCGTGGTGGGAGGGCACACGGCACCGCAGCGTGGGGGGCCCCACCCTCTGGGTGTGCTTGTTTGCTCAACAAGCTCTATTGGGAAGGCCACGGCTTCTCGCAGTCTCAGGCTCAATCCGCCCCAGACCATGCAGGTTCTGAAAACCCAGCAGAACCAAGGGGGGGCACAGTTCCGGTGCAGGTGGCCCCTCGAAGGCGGGTGTGAGAGGTGTTTGCCTGTCCCTGCTAACCCGACGCATTCCATCGTCCGGCGTTTGGGCTTCATGTGAAGCCGTGCGCACAGTCAAATCTCGTTAACTCAGGCCTCTCCCATTCCAAAGTGCTAACTGAACCGGAGGCCCGGCTGAGGGCCGTCGGGGCGGGGGGGCAGTTTGGAGAGCAAACGGGTTCTAAGGACTTGGCTTCCCCAGGTGGATGCGGCGAGACTCCTCCAATTATAAACACCCTGGAGTGTTCAAGTTCAGCAGGAGCCACACTTGAAAATCAATCCATCTACCGATATTTATTGAACTGCCCTGAAGCACACCTCCCTGGCTGGCCGAACACTCTGTGAGAACTTACTCTGCAGCCTGAACCACCCGGCCAGGTAACGGATTTCTTTAGGAAATGCAATCTCCGTCCGTGTGCCCGCCTCCCACCGACCTCTCTGGGAGCCTGAGAAAGCCGGTGGGGGCCCCTCCCCCACGGAGGGGGTTTCCTCCTGCAGGAGCCCCGCTCTGGCCACCTCCGGCTCCCCGTCCCACTTCAGTCTTCTGAGCCGACAGTTCCCACCTCGAGTTTCAGATCCCCCAGAACTCAGCCTTCGCTCCCCCTGACCTTTGCAGGCCCGCGCCACCGAGGCCACCACGCCGCACGGTCAGTCCCTTAGGCTCACCCCAGTCAGTGATGGCGGACAGCACATCACCCGCCTCTTCTCGTCTGTCCCCCAGGCCTGCTTTCTCTCTAAGATTTATTTTATTTGTTTGAAAGGTAGAATTGCAGAGAGGGAGAGTCAGAGAGAGAGAGAGAGAGAGAGAGAAAGAGGTCTTCCATCCACTGGTTCACTCCCCAAATGGCCGCAGTGGCCAGGACTGGGCCAGGCTGAAGCCAGGAGCTGCATCCACGTCTCCCATGTGGGTGCAGGGCCCCCGGCACTTGCGCCATCTTCAGCTGCTTTCCCAGGATCAGAAGTGGAGCAGTGGGGTTCGAACTGGAGTCCATATGGGACGCTGGTGTTGCAGGCAGCGGCTCTAGCTGTTACGCCACAGAGCTGGCCCCAGGCTCTGCCCCCCTGGTGGCCCCCGCGGCTCCATCTTGGCTGGTTCTTTGCGTCGTCTGGGACTCCGAGGTTGCTAGACCTTCCGTGCCTGGTCGGGTGCCGCGGTGAGACGGTGCTTACCTTTGCCCCTCCCCACCTCCTCAGCACTCCTGGCTGAACGCGCCTCTCCCCAGCTGGTCTTCCTCTTGTGCAAATTTCCACTCTGCCCTGCCTGTCCCTGCAGGTCCACCCCGGACTCCCCTCTGTGTCCCAGACCTGACAGCAGTGGCTCCACGTTGAAGTGCAGCTGGAATCCCGTCACCATCTCCCGAGTCCAGGTCGCGCCTGTCCACCTGTCTTGTCATCACATCCGCCGGTTTTCTCACCCGGCAGCCACTGGGATCCTGTTAGAACCCACGCCAGTCACGCGACCTCTGGGCAAACTTTCTCTGCTGCTTGAAGTCAGCCCTCGCACAGCCTGGAGTCCCCGCTGCCCCTGCCCTGCCCAGCCCTGCACTTCCTCTGTTGCCTGAAACTCATGTGCAGCTCAGACAGGTCCTCTCCTCCCGGATCTGGGCTCTGCTCCCTGGGCAGTCTCCTTACCAGCCGTGCGAGACCCTCCCTCGTTCTGTGTCCGTAACCTCCTCTGGGATGGAGTGGCCCCCAGAGCTGGGCTGCGGCTGTCTGGGCTGCCACGGCATCCCTCAGCCTCACGGAGGAGTGGTCCACAAGCGGGTCAGCTCAGCAGCTGGGCTGTTTCGGGAGGAACTGACCTCATTCTGATCAAGACACAAGAGCAGGATGTGGAGTAGAGAAAGCGTCTGGCGTCTGAGCTCAGAGCACACACGGCACTCAGAGGACCCTCACAGGGAGCTCGGGGGCGCTCACGGGTGCACACAGGGAGCTCATGGGGTGCTCATGGGGTCCTTGTGGGTGCTCACGGGGTCCTCCCGTGCTCACAAGGTGCTGCAAGCTGGGGACATGGTGCTGGGCGTGTCGCGCCAGGCCCGCCGCTGGACACTGGGCACACAGAGTGCGCTGCTGTGCAGGTCTCGGCCCAGCGGAGGGCTTGTGCGTGTGCAGGGTGTGTCCAGGAAGGGCTAATTAACAAGTACACCGGCCAGTGGCGTGTCTGGAGAAAGGAAACAGGGCGATGGAATGGCCTCCAGGAGGAGGCGTGCTTAGCTCTGTGCTGTTTCTCTTTCGCTGGGAAGAACCGCATGTGGTAAAACGCACAGCTCAGCAGTGTCGCCTCGGGTGAGCTGCGGACGAGGTTCACGCCCACATCCCGTGGATGCCCCTGCACGGCCACTCCTGGGTGGGTACCCTAGAGAGCCGCTGGGGAGGCCTCTCTGCAGAGCCAGTACTGGGGCTGGGTCAGAGGTGGCCGCAGGCGAGCCAGAAGTGTTCTGATGTGGGTCGGTCAAGCCAGGGAGTGGGTGCGGGGAGTCCCTGGGGCAGCAGCCGGTGGGCAGATCCACAGGCCCTTGTTGGCCGTGCTGATGCACCCAGCCTGTACCTCCCTGGGACCGGGAGCCCTGGGAGAGGAGGACAAAGGCAGGGGCAGGATGACCGGGTACGAGACCGCAGTGGTTCAGACGGGGCAGGTGGCAGAGAATGGTCACCTTCTGGGTGTGTACTTTTTAGCAAGGTCTAGTTATTTATTTAGAAGGGAGAGGGGGAGGAGGAGAGGGAGAGGGGGAGAGGGAGAGGGAGAGGGAGAGGGAGGGAGAGGGAGAGGGAGA